ATAAATAAATAAATAAATAAATAAATAAATACAGAAGTCCTCTCAACCTATGAGCAGAACACGACACGACACGACCTACCCTGCAGCTTGTCAATGAGCTTGGCCTGGAAGGCGAGAAAGCCGAGATTGTTGAGGTCCTTGTCGAAGGTGAGCAGTATTGGGACGCTCATGGTGGGGACCGGGTACAGGACCTTGTCGATCACGTGCACCACGCCGTTACTGGCCTTCAGGTCTGGCTTCGACACCACGCTGCCCTCTGCCGTTATCACCTGGGCAGGGAGCAGGGGCAAGGGGGGAAGGGGCAGGGGAAAGGGGGAGGTGTGTTTTTGACTTTTAGAGAGCAAAGAGCGGGGGGCTATAACATTGCCCTATTAATATTATTCTAGCCATTGTCGTCATCATCATCATCAGCATCATCAGCATCATCATCATCATTACCACCATCATCATCATCATCATCATCATCATCATCATCATCATCATCATCACCATCATCATCATCATCATAATAATGATAATGAATAATTATATCCGCGGTTTACAGCACGCTCGAAGAGCTTTGCTTCCATTAATGGAGAAGAATCACAGAAATGGACGTACAGAAAGTGGGAACACATGGAATAACATCAAGAGGCTAGCCCAGGACAGAGAAAGGTGGAAGGTGTTTGTCCGTGGCCTATACCCTGGTGCAGGGTGAGAAAGTGTTTGTCCGTGGCCTATACCCTGGTGCAGGGTGAGAAAGTGTTTCTCTTGCATGTGGTTGAATGATACCTGTGATCTGATACATTTTGTCAGCTTTACGTCTCTGTTCACATTGAATTTTAATGAGAGTGATACATAATTTAAATATTTTATACCTGCATGTTCTTACGGTCCTGTACAGCCTAAAAAGATTTCCCTCTTGGATAATAAAGTAGTACCTTATCTTATTTTATCTTATCTTATCTTATCTTATCTTATACCCTGATGCAGGGTGAGAAAGTGTTTGTTCGTGGCCTATACCCTGGTGCAGGGTGAAAAAGGCAATGATGATGATGATGTTATTACGCTACCATCAACACAATTTAGATCACTTAGGAGGCCGGCAATGATGATGATGAGGAGGAGGAGGAGGAGGAGGAGGAGGAGGAGGATGATGATGATGATGATGATGATGATGATGATGATGATGACATACCTGTCCATTCTTGTAGATGTTTGTTCTGAGTTGCGCGCCGGACAAGAGAGTGGCCAGCAGCTCGTCGTTCTGTAGGTCGGCCGCCATCTTGAGTGCGGAGACCACGTGATATTTGAGAACATCCTGAAGGAGGGTGGCGTTCTTGGAGAGTTGCGCCAGGACTGACGGGGGTACGGCGGACAGGGCGGCGTCGGATGGCGCGAAAAACGTGATGTCTTCTGCGGGGTTGGGGGGGAGGGGCGGATGGGAGGGATGGAGGGG